GGGAGGGGGAGTGGTAAACAACTTTTTCAACGGAGGTGATCATAGCGCTTTAAAAAAGAGCATTTCAATTCACAGCGAGGGAGATGACTTGAGCTCAGCGTTAGGAGCTCGTGTAAGGCAGCAGTTCAATGGTTCACTGGAATGCTGTCTGAAAAAAAAAACAAAGCTTGAGCCTCCTCTAGAAATACATGGTTAAAAACCTGGTTTGTTGGAAAACTCTAGAGTTTTCGAATTATTAAAGGCTTGAAATCTAGCAACTCAGATTCTAAACATATCTGAATAACTTTCCACTTCCATGAACCTCCGACAACAAATTTCCTGATGAGGTTCGGCACCACTATACAATCTATCTGAGCCTAGTCACTTTTATTGTGGTCGAGATGTCGATATTGGTTGTAGTTTCGAGTTTTTGGCTGCTATAAAGCGATGAACAGCATTATATCTTATCATCTGGTGGTCAATGTACTATAAGATGCTAGAGAAGTATTCTGCTCTTGTATATTTTCTCATATGTGTAAGCTTTAGGTTGTGGAAGCAGCGAACGAAGTGAAGATTGTGACGAGACCAAAGAATTGTGTGAAACGCCATCAATCAATCAACAGAAGGTTCGCTTACTTGGAATCATAAAGTCAATGAAGTAGCGGTCTCTTTCGAGAAGCAACGGCAAAAACTACATTCTTCTCCTGCTCATATTTCAGGCCATTTCAGAAAGTAACCAACTCTATATGTAGTAGGCATAGGCGAGGTTCACGGGCGAGCTGAGATGACCATACTTGATTCTCCTTAAAATTGAAAAGCTACGGTCCAAAACGAAGATTTTCACGACTTTCTACTCACTCACACAGGCACACTAGCAAGAGGACCCATGGAACTCTATATTGTAGTAAAATTTGCAGGAAAATACTTTGCGAATGATCAGTCAACGAATAGGGACATACCATTCAAGCCAAACAGCCTCTGTGGAAAGCATCGCTCATACGGATCGACTTGTCGACTATATTCATTCGTTGGAAGAGCGAATAAAACAACTTGAAGGTGCCAGTCGACAAAATGTAAGCCTTCAATTCGGGCAGTTAAAATTTGTCGATGAAATTGATAGCGGTTGATGCACACAATTTGCCTACAATTTGCCTCCATACCGCAGCCCATTGTTTACTTTTGCGTAATGTTCTTACTTCACTAGTAGTTTTTGATTCGACGGTTGTTTGGGTATTGGGTTACTGTGTGTACAAATTTTGTGGAAATACCCTGAGCCGATTGGAATTTATGTAAAGTGTAAACTTGGCTGGTAGTTCTGAAAGTATTACCAGAATCTTTAAGATTTCAAACAGGGTAATAGTGTGAAGCCAGATACTCAACACATTAACTCTTCCTGCGTCCGTTTAGGATTTGGCATGGGTTGTATTTTATCTGGCTAGAAGATGTGAAAATCACACAAGACAGCCGGTCTTATTATTGCCACCGTCTAAACCGGTATATGAAAACACTTGGAACCTCTGACTTAGTATGTTCCTGGCTATGGGTTGAAGTACGTACATGCCAATTGGGAGGGGAGAGTATATTAGTGTAAACAGTGAATGGGCCATGTGACTCCATCTATTTGAATAGCGCCTTGTTCACAAGTTCACCAGGATTTGACTGCTTGTGTACTCTTACCCATGTTAATAGTTGTCGTTCAGGGAATATGGCACTCGGCTTGCACCTTGGCGTCCGATTCTGATGAAACAACAGTCATAGATCGATGCGAAGAGCTGTCAGACGACGTATTGTTGAAGAAATCTAGGCAGAATTACCCTAAACCGATGCATATCTCTTACAGCAGTAAGTCACTTAAAAGGGTCAATCACTACAGAAAGAAGAGCTCCCGAAGTAAAATTAAATCAAACGTTGAAACGTGCTCCTTAGCAGCAGACAATATTTTCTTTGCCTTTCAGAGTCACACAAGAGATTTCTAGACTTCCCCAGATAAATTACTTCTGCTGCCAGAATAGGCTAGGAAAGCAATACATACACTAACTCAAACGAAAATTTAAGACGTCCCAGGGGAACAATTTGCTAGAATGGGCTTGCTAAGAAAGCAAGACTCTAATCTAGGAAATCAGCTAACACATTCTTTTCCACTAATGAAATGCCACTTTTTCAGGCACGCTGACCACTTCAGGAACAACATACGCTAGCTCTGAGACGGACCTAGAAAGCGCTGTATACGTGATGGGAGACGAGACAGGTACAGATTCCTACTCTGTGACTGGTCCCAAGCTTGCAAACAATCCCATTTTCCATTGGGATTGAGAAATTCCTCGTGGAACGCTGTGAATAGTGAACAAACGTAGGCAAGGAATAAGAGTAGGAATCGCATGGGTGTACGTGTTCAGCACGTAAGATTGGATCCCCCTGAGTTGACTACGTAGTAAAACCTTCCTTGGTTGATTGTTTGGTGTCATAATCATCCAAGAAAGGAGAACGTTGCTCTGAGCAACTGGGTATTTATTCTGGGAAGCGGAGTTCTTAGATTCCCTTCATTCATTCATAGTGGTATGTCATATGGCGAAACACCTGAAAGTTACCCCGAGCTATAAGCGCATCGAGTCTAACGCCACACATCCAGCCACTTTTTTCTGACCTTTTACCCTTCATTTTTCCCATCATCAATGTTATGGTTTAAGATGCTGTGGACGGTACCCTTGAAGTGCGATCGTTGACTAGAATTGAAGAAGATAGTGAAGAGAAAGAGAAGATCAGCGACGAAGTTGAAGAGCAAAGCGCTCAGTTGCCGCCAGCAATCGCTCCGCTCAGCGAAAGCCTGGTATGATCGTGAGGTTTGAGGCAAAATCAATCTGACGGATAATGTGTGATTTCAGTTGAATGTAGGTCGTCTAACCCTAGACGAACCCAAGTCGTCAAAAAATCTCGATTTGACCACTAAGGGAACCTCGCCAGTAATGCCGGCCAAGTCTTCTTTTCGTTAGTTGATCCCTTCATTCTGATTTCTTTTGAAAGCTTTTGATTGCGTCTATAGTCTCTGAAAGTTTCTTATTACAGTCCGCCGACCTCGTCCTCTTAGCAGCAGAAGTTCGCTATTTGGAGCCGCGAAGAAAGCTTTCGAGAAGAGCACAGCAGAATGTGGTTCGGCATGAAGTACGTCTACAAGATATAATAATCACTATCGCAAGGATCTCTTTTGACTGCACCAACCCACAACGAAGTATTAGCCCATGAGATCACATGCTTCCAAAGAATGCCCGAGCTCTCTCTCATTTGTGTTATTAGTGAAGCGTCCTACGTAATCTAATGCCAGATCCTCATGTCGTGAAGCTGACCTAGGACGAAAACAGGGTTTGGTTCTATCCCGTTTAGAATGATAGGTTGTCCAACGTTAGTCTAATTTGGAATTTGAAGGCGCACGTAACGTTCAAGTAGGGCATGCAATGCGCATTTGTGGGCATCACTCCTTTTGAAAAATGGGTTAGTTCAAAAAAATCCGATACCCCTTACTCAGGAGTAGAGAATCGATCAAAATGGAGCGGGCCATAGTTCCCAAAATCTGTGCTCCATGTAGTGAAGTGCACAAACCTATGTGGAAAACATGATAGGTCAGCGCGCGGTCGCAAAGCGCTTGATTCACGCGCGTATTTCCGATTTACGCGCGCTAGCAACCACCGTCCTGGTGGGCTATTGACTACACTTTAAGATTGTTTTGTTTGTGACTGAAGAGAAAAGCTCTTACTTTATAAAAACGTATCACCTTAAAGCGAACTTTCGAATGCATTTTCCATCGAGATGAAAATTTTCCGAAGCAAGTGATTTTTTTTAGAGCTCCATGTGACGGAACGTTTTCGTTGTGGATAAGATATGACCAAAAGTGATCTGCTTTCATAAGAATGGTCAGATGTGTTTGTATAAAGTCAACTATTAATGCCTTTCGAATATTCATCTCAACTTTATATCAGTATTCTTCGATGCGTTGTACTTGTACTTTTGACCTCATATTATTGCCTTAAATACTTTCATTTCTGAATGAAGGATTTCCACTGAACTGTCTGATCATTCAACACATGTGATACTTTCGGACTTGAAATGCTTCAATTTCTCAACGGAGCAAGGGCACTGAGTAGTATCGAGACAACTCCTGCTTTCGGATGTGAATGATCACCGGATCTTTTGTCTTCTCTTGCATTTCCCTTCTTTTTTGTAGCAATAAAAAGCTTTGCTTCGGAAGCAACGGCAGCCGTCGTGCTGCGTCCCATCCGTAGCGCCCGAGCGACCATCCGATCATTATCCTGTAGAGCAGCGCCCTTTGATTAGTCTATTACTGATTCATTGTAATTTAGCAACTCGGTATACCTAGAAGAAGGGAAAAGTCAAAATCATTTCAACAAGAAACATGCTCGAAAGATATCTTTTTTTGAAATTCTGCAACTTCGACTTACTCAGAAGCAGATGAATCCGATTGAACTTGAAGCAGGAAACGTTTGCTTGAAAATGCTTTAGACAGGGACACAAGGTGAGCACCGGAATTTGTGCCCGAACGTCCAAAATTGTAGCTCGTAGCTTTTTGATAGCGGTCTCAGGATATTTAACTGCAATGACCATTTACATCCATTGAGACTCCGCCGCAATATTTCAAATTGCACCCATGAATTCCGTTACTGATCACCATTTGCATTTTTGCAACGCACCGTTCGGACAGAAATTCTCTTATTTGCCCGATGTGATTGTGCGTCTACTCGCTTGGCGTGCCAACTCAGGCAATGTCGCGTGTGGTTGCCATTGAATCCGATCAAGAGTGGGAACCTTAGGTAGTATAGGTTCTCATTTCTCGTGAATTCATCAGTGACATGTTTGCTTCCAGTAATTATATAAAAAAAATGCTTGCCGGAATGGCAGGTGAGCTTGCCCTTGACATAAACACAGCAATGGTTCTTTATTCCCTTTTATTAGAAGAGTTAGGCGTTCAATGCCAAGATCGGAGGTGGAAACCAAACTTATCCAAGCTGTATTTGGCAAAGTTCGGCATTTGCATTGGTTGGTTCATTCATGGTGCTGCCTGTGATGCCGATGTTGGAATATGAATTCGTTCGCAGCCGATCGATATCTCGCAAATCATGAATTTTGCCCATTGATGTTACATTTTCAAGCATTAAAAAATCGACGTTTTGCCCTCTTTTCTCTTTATAATGACAGGTTACAGCTTTTCTACTGTGTTCTGTAGTTCCCGTTCAAAGCGACTTCGCTTCCGATAGATGTTTTTGTTGCTTTCCAATTCGATGCCAGTTGTTGGCGTTGTTATAGTATGCTTTCATTTCCATGATTGCTCGATGCCTGTGAAGGCAGTCCCACTACAGCTAGTTGAAAGGGCGATATGCAGTAAAGCCCTCGCTGCATACTTCACTCGCACTACTTTCTTATGATGAAACTCACCAACTATCTTCGCTTGTGCTGTACTTGATAGCCGTTGGTCTACTTGCTCATGCTCCGTAATCGCTAAAGACACCTATGTAAATTGTTACTTCTGCCTCGTCGTCTTTATGATTTTTTTTCCACGTTGCTAATTCGGTCTGTTTTATTCTAATTTTGCTATTGTTTCTTATGTTCTTGCGAGGGCAACTTGTTGAATGCGGAGTTGTTCACAGTTACCCTCATTCCACTTTTGCATTTCTATTATTATCTTCTTAAATACTGCTTACTCATTTCTTTGTCGAATTACTAAAGACCTCAAAACATAATCTTCCTGAATACTCATTAGCGATAATTTTGAGATGTCTAGAAGGGCCTTTTTGAAGGTACAACTTACGATAATTTTGAGATGTCTACTTGAAGCAAATAGCGGTACTGATCATTCAGAAAAATGCGCGGTTGCTGCCAAAATTCCCTGAGTACAATTGTAATGCAGGATAATGAGAGCAAGAGCAGAGCAAAAGTGGCTCATCTGTATGTAACGTTTGGAATGTTGCCTTGAGTATGCAAAAATGTTTAGAATTGCACTTTCACTTCTGCCATTGGTCGGGACTGCATGCAATACAAATATTGTGAAGCTGTTATTTTAGTACTGTTTGCAACTTTGTGCGCACATCGGATAAAAAAAGGCACACTCTTCTATCTGTTATCGTATGCTCTTCCACAGTAGATTTCGTTTCTGTATGATTTCTTCGCGTTTACTTTCCTATAGTTCTTCATCCAGATATTGAGAGAGAAGCTAGAGAAAGAATAGTGGAAATAAGTTCAATTTCAGAAGGTTATTAGATAATTATTAGAGGACCTCGTTGGTTGTCCATAAAACAATGAAAAGGGCACTGTGCAACACTAACTACAGAGAGCGAATGAAAGCTCCTTATGATAGAAGAACTAGAGTAGGAAGGAGCTTTGTTGGGGAGCAACAGGTACATTGGAGGGAAAAAAGGCAAGAGGTACATCTGGAGGGGGAGCCGGAAGCATCACCTGTCACCTGTATCACCTGTACTCCCGTTGATCGTCGATTTCCTCGAGCGGGCGCCAGTAACGTCTCCATTCGTCCCTGTCGCGAGCCAGAGTAGTCCAGTGAAACGCACTCGCTCGAGGGACACGGGGCAATACATTCCTTTCGTTCAGAGCTTTCGTGAAGAAGTCTGACCATCTCGTTGGCGGCCGTCCTGGTGTTCGCTTGACGTCCCGAGGGATCCAGTCCGTAACCGCCCTGGTCCAACGGTCATCATTATATCGCATAACGTGTCCGGCCCACATGAT